AAGAAGCAACTGGACAAAGTCCCTCCTTCACAAAGCTTACACAATCTCATTTTCAAAAGAGACAAGTAGCTCAATCCCCAGTGAGTGTTATTTTCAGTTTCATTTTTTATGTTTGAGCAGATTTGAGGAGTGTGTGTGTGTGTGTGTGTGTGTGTGTGTGTGTGTGATGCCTTGAGGAAGAAAGGTTTCTGCTGGGAACCGAATGAGAATCTCAATAGGATGGAAGAGGCAGGTGTCACCCAATGGCAGAATTCTGAGTATTGTGTAGATGAAGCGGCAAGCCCCAGAGGGCACCATATACTGAGGGCATACAAAGCAAGAATCCCGTGCCTTAGGGAGTTGGCACACTATCCCAAGAACAAAAAGATGCAACCTGGAGTGGGGGGCAGGTTTATGGCAGAGCTGGATTTTGAAATACCTCTTTTGAGGCTGCTTTTGAGGTGGGCAAGTCCTCCTGTGAGGCAAGGCCTATTTGGAGGGTGCTGTGGAGAGACCCAGGGGAGCCATGAGGGTGGTGCCTGGGCATGCACACCTGGCCAGGGACCAGGGCATCTCAGCCACTCAGATCCTCTTCCTTATCCTGATCAGGTAGGAGTGTCCTATGAGTCACCAAGACATACTACCACTGCTCCAGAGACCACCCCCAGGCTGGACTGCCTAAGCCTGAATCCTGGCTTGGCTCTCCAGACTGGCTCAGTCCCTCAATCTCTGTGCCTCGATACGCCTATGTGAAAAATGGGGATAGTAACAGTACCCAGCCACAGAGTGCTATGGTGAAAATGAAGCTATTACTTGCATCTATAACATCTATACATACACACACATGCGTGTGCATGGGCGACCCGGAAGAAGCTCCTGGCTTCAGAATGGCTCACCTCCAGCCATTGCAGTCACTTGGGAAGTGAACCAGAGGATGCAACATCTTTGTCTCTCTCCTCTATTAATCTGCCTTTCCAGTAAAAACAAATAAATCTTTAAACAAAACAAAACAAAAAAACAAAGATTTTCATCTTCTTGGGAAAACCTGACTCTTTGCTTTAATTTTTTAACATAACTGCTAGAGGTTTTTAAATTACAAGTGTGGCTCAAGTAACAGTTCCAGTGGATGGATAAGGCTAAGCACAAAACAGCCACTAACCTCTAGGAGACAAAGAACTTGAATACAAAAAACGACAACTGGAGAGAAGGCAACATTGAAGTCACATCATTGCCGAGTCTAGGTTAGAAAGACCAAGATGTTTGTAAAAAGCAGAAGCAAGATCAAGGAAAATGTAAGAGCAGAGGCTGAGGAGAGAGGAATGCTGGGGAAAGAAAAACCACATGTCTAACAGAAAAATTACCGCTACTAGGAACTCAATATTCATAATACCCACTTAATTAGGAAAATGCCACACAGTTTTTAATAGCCTTAATGGTCCCAAATAGACCTTGATTGTGTTATTTTCTTTTTCTTTTTTTTTTTTAATATCAAATCTACCAAATCTACATAATTCCAGAGGTGAAAGACTGAAAGAAAAATTTTAGAAAAGGGTGTGTGTGTGTGAGAAAGCACGGCACTTGAGCCTATAGACCACCTGAAAATAATGTCAGATACTTTCTTAGAGAATAGGAGAACAAAGAAGTCTTCTATGGCTCAAAAGCCCAAACCAAAAAGGAGCTTGTGCATTGCGCATGGTTCTGGGGCATTCTGTAGCAGAAATTGCAAGCAGCAGGTGTAAGACACAGATTCAAAGTGTAAAAAGTTCCATGGTATAAAGGCTCATGCAGGAGTGAGTAGCTGGGACAGATCAGGCAGTCTGATCACATTCTCCCTCAAAATCAAGAGCTCACAGAGCTAAATGGCTCCTCACAGTTCAGCCTGCCCTGCCACCTGAACTGGGGGATAGCAGGGGCCACAGGTGAGGGTGCTTTCCAAGACCAGCCCGCACATGGCCACAGCCTCACCCTGACTCTCCCAGCGACTCCTCACAAAGGTTACCTACCTCCAGAAGGCAGGAGCTGGGAACTAGAACCAAGTCATTCCACTTGTGGCTCCCCTAAATGAGCAACACATAAAACCTGTGACCTGGCAGTGCCACTCTTGGGGAGGGACCCAGCAGGAACACATAGTCAGGTGTTAGTAAATCCAGGCTTCTGTGAGCTCCCAGGCAGCACTACAACAACAGCCAAAGACAAAACTGTCGTGCTGTCCACGGACAGTGCATGGGCAGTAACAAGGATCATGCCTTAGCCACGGTCAGCATGGGGGTGGGGTGGGGGAGACGACTCCTCTCAGAAACCCAGCACACAGCAGAAGGCAGAGGGATGAGCAGGGGTGCCCCTGAGGGAGGCAGCGCCTGGAAGGGAGCATGTGTAGTGCCCCTGAAGGCCCTCCCATGTTCTGGTTCTTAATCTGAGTGTACCAGTATGTTCAGTTTAGAAACTTGACTGCAGTGTCCACTGCCTAGTATCTGCGGCACCCTTAAAAAGTAGCTTTGGCTGGCCAGTGTCCAGGCTTGCTTTTCTCCTGTACCACACACATTCCCCTTTGTACCACATCCCTCCCCCCAAATCACATGTGACTAAGCGGGGTCTTTCCAAGAACAGCTGCAGGTCACCATCCATATTTATGGCTTCCTCCCACACCAGGACTATGATGTACCTTCAGGGCTGATATCCTCACTCATGCCATCTGCTTGGGAAGCAAGGGATGCCAGCCCTTGTTTCTCTGCCCTCAGCACTGAGGAAGTTAGTATTACCATCAATGTGTGGCTGCTCCCAGTTGTTTTATTCTGCCAAAGCTTCTGGGCTAGACCAAAAGCACAGAACCTGCCCTCCACAGATTAAATCTTAACTATCAGAAACGACAAGTACAGAGGAGACCAGCATTGTCCTTCTCCCAGGAACTGCCACCTCCAACATACCCAGCCTGGCCTCCAGCACCTGCTGTGCCTCACATAAAGTTCTTTACTGCCCAGCCAGCTGCCAAATCCTACCTGTTCAAGATCTCCTCACTGCTACAAACAGCCCCACAGGAAAACCAGGGGGAACTGGAAGCAGAGGCCCACAGAACAAAGACAAAGTTCTTATTTTGCCTTGAAGACAACTTAAAACTACACCGCCCATTTATTTTGATAACATGGAGCAATCTGCAGTTTGTGCCAAAGTTATAAGTTTTTTTCAAAACAGTCGTAGATATGAGCTTTGAGAACATTCCACCTCCCATAAATCCTTCTCTTACTTTCTTTCCATAAGCCTCAGTAAGTCTTCTTATCTGACCCATTTCTTTCCCTGCCTGGAGGAAGGAACACTCCCAGTCATTACCAAGACCCCAAGGATCATTTCAGCAAGCTCCAGCTCCCCCATGTTTGACATACCCGAAAAAGACTCCCAACATGAGCAGGTGTTCGAAGCCCGCCTCCTAGACCGGAATGCCTGCGTTCCAGTCTTGCCCTGATTCCAGCTTCCTGCCAATGGGCACGTGGGAGGTAACAGGTAATGGTTCAAATATTTAGATGAGTTTTCTCAACTCCTGGCTTCAGCCTGGCCCAGCCTCAGCTGCTGTGGGTATTTGGACAGTCAACCAATGGGAAGATGGCTTTTCATGTATGTGACTATGCCTTAAAACAAACAAATAAACAAAAACCAAAAAACAAACAAAAAAACCCACCTCACACAGCTTCGATGACTTACTTTCACAGTTCACTGTCTTGGGGCTAGCACCAGTTGGAATTCAGGTGATTTCTGGCTCTGCTACCAGAAATGCTGGGCACCATCCTGAGCTGCCAAGCCTTCAGGATTACCCAAGGGCACCAACCACAACCCCACCTGAGGGGGTCTGCGTCTGGACCTTTGCACCCAGCAAAGAGACCCAGAGAGATGGGTCTATCTCCCAGTTTCAGGCCCCAGAACAGGATTAGCAGTCCTAAGCCAACGCCAGGATGGGCTGCATCCTAACTAGCAAGAGACCAGCCTCCTTCTTCCTTGTGGTCCCAACACCCAGCACAGACCTAGACTCCAGGAACAAGGAACCTACAGGTTTCAGACAAAGCCCGCAGGTAAAACCTTCTTCCTTTTCAATCGACCGAACACCTGATTAGGCAAAGACCACGCCAAGAATTAAAACGGGAATCTATAACGTGTTGTGGGAGTCAGTAGTTCTGCTCGTGGGCATATTGCTCAAGGCCAGAACTGCAAAACCGGGGTCCCAGAAGGGTCATGGGCCGTCAGTAGGGGAAGTTCCCCGCACCAAGGACGGACCAGGAGCCTGAGTCCCCTCCCCACCACCCCTGCGCCCCCCTGGGCCTATCCTGTCTGCCAAGGTCAGCAGCCGGAGTGGGGCAGGCTCAGCGATCCTCTCTGTTCCGCTGCGCTTCTGCAGCGATGCTCTAGCAGGCAGCCTTGCCCAAAGAGCCAGCGCCGCCGCTTACGGTGCCGGAGACACCCAAAGGTCGCCCCAACCCGTTCTCCTCCGCAGGGCTGGCCGCAGAGAGGGGGCGGGGAAGGTCACTGGCGAATGTCTACCGGCAGACACCACACACATCACGCCCTCGTCCTGGATGCGCAAGGCGGTTTTCAGGAGCCGCCGGCGAGGTGCACAGGAAGGTTCCCCAAGCCCGTCCCAGAGAAACCAGCTGAACTCAGGCGCTGCAGGCTCGGAAGCGTCCAGCAATGAATTAAACCCCGGGCCGCTACGCAAAGCGGTGAGAGAAAGGGGCCACCCGCACACAGGGACCTGACAGCCCGGCGGCTCGCCCTGGCCCTCCCTCCGGCCGGTCCACACCTGCGCCGGCCGCGTCGCCCCCGGACCCGATCCACCACGCCGCCCCAGGCCACGCGCGCGACCCCTCTGCCCGCGCCCCTACCACAAGCGCCTCGGGGCGCCGTGCCCTGGGTGCTGCCCGCGGAGGCCGGGGCGGAGCCGCGGGGCCCAGCCTGGCGAGCAAAGGAACGGGTCCAGGTGGCCGCCGCCCCTAGCCCGCGGGCCGCGGCTACACCGAGGAGGGGGCTGCGCCACGTACCTCGGCCGGCAGGTGCCGCCGCCGCCGCTGCCGCCTGGCTGCGCGACCGCAGGGGAGGCCACTCCACGCAGCCCGCCGCCGTCGCGCGCATACTAGGCAGGGGGCGCCGGCCGGCCGCCAGCCAGGGGCCCCGAGCCCCCGCCTGCCCCCGGAGCCGCGCTCGCGCCCATTCAGCCCGGGGCCGAACGCTGCCCCGCGCGGATGCGGAGGAGGGCCGGGAGGCGGGGCGGGGCGTCACGAGGGCGCAGGAGGCCAATCGGAGCGCTCGAGGGCTCCGGCGGCGGCTCCGCCCCCGGGCCGCTGGGCTCCCCGCCATCCCTCCATCCGCCCGGCGGTGCTGGAGGGGAGCAGGGCGCCCCCAGCGGGAACGCACCGCGAGCCGCGGGCTCGGGTCGGGCAGGGTCGGGGCAGGGGTCCCGGGCGCTCACCGCCGTCCTGCGCTCTGCACGCGGTTGCATGGGTGAGGACACAAAGGAAACAAAAGATACGGGTTATGGGCTCGCTGCTGCGCATAGGACTGGTAGGTGCAGAGGAGGTGAATGAAGACTCTATACAGTCACGTGCTTTGCTTACCAGCTGCCTCCTGTTCCTCAGCAGATTGTTGGGGCCCCGCAGGACATCCACGAGGGCCGGCTATGTGTGTCTGGGAACTTGCAATATATATTTTTTTTTTTTGGAGTTCCACGTGTAGGAGAAAAGGAGAGCGCTAATGGCCGGACAATGCACTAGCTTGACCTGTGCGGTTGGTTGAGGCCTCCAGAGTAGAACTGAGTTTTCCTGGGTCATTGAGCATGCTTGGTGGCAGAGCCAGGATCAGAACCTGGACTCAGGGTACTCACTGCCATGCTTTCAGAGTCCCCTCCCTTGGTTCTGGAACCCTGTTAACTGCTGTAACCCAGCTAACGGCCTGCAGCATTTTTGTGCCTGAAATTTTGTTGGCTCTTGAATGAAGCTGGTAAATTGTTCAAGACATCCTTGGAGGCCACCAGCCACAGAGCATCGGTGCCTTGTGCCGGGGAACTTCCTAGACACCAAGCCCATTACATTTGCACAAACCAAAGAGCTTTACCAGACTTCTTTGCAGTAGCTTGCCTATCTCTGCTCTCCCCTCCAAGCCCCTCAGCTCTGCGCACCTCTCCCCCAACCCATGGGGCAGGGGTGGTACTGGAAGAAATGGAGTGTCTGGGTAATGGAGGTCAGGAGGGAAACTTGGGAAGAGAAAGAGTGAGGGAACTCTGCTTTGACACACTCTGAATGATTCCAAGGTGATTCTAAATGATTCCACTGGATGCATGTTGTGAGGTTGAAGGACAAGCCCTCCCTGGGTGATCTGAATCCAGTGGATTGTCAAGGTCAGCCAGGGAGAGCAGCTGCCTGGGGTGGCGACAGCTGCAAAGCAGAGCATGCGATGCACTTCACTCTCTTCTCCAGGACACCAGCCAGATGCTCCTTCAGCACGCCTTGCCTCGGCTGCGCCTGTGCGTGTCTCCCAGGCTCTCCCTGGGATTAGAGCCAGGTCCTGATAAATTGCCTGCCAGGGAAGTCAGCAGCACCCTGGCTTGGAAAGGTGGGTGCGCGATGGAGGGTGGCGAATGCATCGCTACTTTATGTCCCAGTCTCACGGCTGAAACGTGTGTTAAGCACCTGCTACCTGGTTCACTCCACCGGCTGGATGGGAGGAGAGTTGCAGTTCTGTCCCTAAAGTTCCTGTCTCCCAGCCCCAGAGTTATCTTCAGCTGCTGCTCTGGGTACAGGCAGAGATCCTCAAATAGGACACAGGATCAGCCACCAGATTACAAAGCCTTCCTGGCACGTCTCGAACTCGGAGGCTGGGATCAGAGAAGCTTCTGTTGTGGGCTAAGGAGTTGATTAGCATTTGTTAAACTTGGCTCCTGCAGGAAATGGGCTTGAAGGCTAGTGGTACCTGGTCTGTCAGACTCATTAGCATCCGATTGTTCTGCTAGAGGCTTGGGGGGGAAAGTATATATGGGTGAATAAAGTGAGAGACCTCTTCCACCACTACTGGTCTCCTGTCGGTGTCTGATTCCCTGACCCTCGCCGTGTCCATGCTACCGGCTCTGCTGGCCGGGACAAGCTTCTAGACATTGCTTTTACCTATAAATCTAGGACAGCAACTGTGATGTCATGATTCTTTATTTCTTCTGCTTCTTACTTTTGTCAGTCTGATAGCAGACATGGTAGTTGCTCCCAACATCCACCTTGGCTTCCGGTGACATAGCCTTTGTCCTACTGTATAGGGGACTGTGCTTGGCCAAAGCCAGAGGTTCTTAAAAAGTTCTCTTAAAGTTCCTAAGGATCTGGAGGTAAAACCATCTAGTAATAATCTAAGAGATTCCCTGGTACACTGATGGTAGCAAGATGGACAAAACAGTTGCCCCCCTCCTTTACACAGTCAGGGCACCCGAGTCATCAAAATCTCTCATAAGCATAGTTTTCATATTTTACATAACAAAACAGCACACATAAAAGTGTTTTTGCTGCATGCCAATGTGAGATGATGAGGTCAGATCGCTTTATAAGGAAAAATGCATGCGCAGTTTTTGGAACTGCAAGCTGTACCCGCTGCTTTTCCTCATGCATTTTTATTCAGGGACACATCTGACAGACCATGGTCATTTGTACTGGGATATTCGGCAGGCAGTTTCCTGAAAAGGAACTAAGAGAGCCTGTGTCTCCAGGGAAACTATTGCCTGTAGCCAGTGCCGAAAAATATCAACTTTGAAGACAAACACAGGATTTTGGAAAACGACATTACCTTAAGCTTGACAGCTTCTCAATGAGATCAATAGTGACATTATTAAATATTACGGATTTTTGGATGTTGCATAATATCTAGTGTGTTGACATTGAAATGCCTGTTTACCGTGAATCATTGCTTTGTAAATGATTAGTGCCTGATGTTACTCAATCATGCTTACACATTGATAAAAACACACTGAAAGTACATACAGGGGGCCAGTGCTGTGAAATATAGGTAAACCTCCACCTGTAGGGCCAGCATCCCATATGGGCACCAGTTTGCATTCTGGCTACTCCACTTCCAATCCAGCTCCCTGCTTGTGGCCTGGGAAAGCCAAAATGATGGCTCCAGTCGTTGGGACCCTGTACCCATGTGGGAGATGGGGAAGAATCTTCCGGCTCCTGTCTTCAGATCGGCCCAGCTCTGGCTGTTGCGGCCATTTGGAGAGTGAACCAGTAGATGGAAGATTCCTCTGTTGGCCTCTCCTTCTCTCTGTATAACTCTGTCTTTCAAATAAAAAGTTAAAAATAAATATTTAAAAAAAACTACATACAGGCCATGGATTTTAATTTAGTAGTTTGAGAAGTTCATAGATGAAGTTCACATTTGACAAGGTAACAAGAAGGTAGCTCTTATTGAATTTTATAGTAAATGTACAGTTTTTGAAGCTCTGCCATGTCAGAGAATCTACAATTATCATTAGAGATTGTTATTAAAAAAAACTCCCCATTAAATTATGTATCAATATGAGATTAGATTTCATTTGCATACTTCAACCAAAACAATTTGCAACAGATTAAATACAGAAGCAGATATGAAAATGTAGCTGTGTTATATTAAGCTAGACTCAGAGACTGGAGGAAGATGTTTTGTTTTTAAAGCACCATTCAGGGGTAGGCACTGTGACATTGTGGGCATGTGGCACCAGTAGCTGATAGGAGCACCAATTCAAGTCCTGGCTGCTCCACTTCCCATCCAGCTCCCTGCTAACAGGCCTGGAAAAGCAGCAGAAGATGGCCCAAGCATTTGGGGCCCTGTACCCATGTGAGAGACCCCAAAGAAGCTCCTGATTTGGGACAGGCCCATATCTGCCCTTGGGGCCATTTGGAAAAATGGAAAAATGAACCAGCAAATGGAAGATCTCCCTCCCTCTTTCTCTGGATCTGCCTTTCAAATAAAACTTAAAAAAAAAAATTAAACACCATTATTCTCACCAATCTTGTTTGTTTTGGAAAACTTTCTTTTTTGTCAGAATATTAAACTTGTTATTATTTATGAGTTAATAAAGCTCTTAAAGATGTCTTAGTTTGAATTATAATTTGACAATGATCAAGAGATAGACCCTACATGAAAGGTTCTTTGGCATCCTCAGTAATTTCTGGGAGCTTGCCAGTTGAAGCTTGCTCGTGCAGTCTCAGCCTCCAGCTCACAGTGGCCCCGGGAACCAGCCATCATAATCAGAGGGAACCTTGGGCATTTTATTGGGTGAGGGAGGAGAGCTGCTTCCATTTTCTTGTTAGACAAGAGCCAGGCACTGACAGCAATCCATTTTGGACTATGAATAGGGCTTACTTTAGGAAGAAATAATGCCATGAGAAGTTAAGAAGATGAGAAATTGTTTTCTTTATGACATTTTGAGTCACTTGTCAAATCTGCCCTTAGACCATCCTACCTGTCTATTTTAGCCACTTGGGGAGTGAACCAGCAGACAGGAGAGCTTTCTCTTCGTCTCTCCTTCCCTCTTAAATCTGCCTTTCAATAAAAATAAATAAATATTTTAAAAATCTTATGGAAAACAATTCAACTATAAATTTACGTGGTATAAAAAGTTTGAAATGGGGCCCGGCGCGGTGGCACAGTGGTTAAGGTCCTCGCCTTGAACTCACCGGGATCCCATATGGGCATCAGTTCTATCCCCAGCAGCCCCGCTTCCCATCCAGCTCCCTGCCTGTGGCCCGGGAAAGCAGTCGAGGACGGCCCAAAGCTTTGGGACCCTGCACCCGCATGGGAGACCCGGAAGAGGCTCCTGGCTTCGGATCGGCATAGTATTGGCCATTGCGCTCACTTGGGGAGTGAATCATCGGACGGAAGATCTTCCTCTCTGTCTCTCCTCTCTGTATATCTGCCTTTCCAATAAAAAAAAAATAATAAAAATAAATCTTAAACAAAAAACAGTGGCATATGAGTTTGAATAGCAAAAATATAGTAGATTTCAATTTTCTTTTGCTCTTCTGTATTTTCCAAATTGGACACCTTGAACGTATGCTGCTTTCACATTGAGGAAAAAAAAATAAAATCTATAGTTTTATCTCTCTAATAGCAGAGTGGTGGCACAATCTTAGAGAGCAGGCCAGAGACTGGGATACGGC